TTGTGGTGGTGGTGGCTGTGTGGCGGTGGTGGTGGTGGGTTGAGGTGGTGATAGTGGTGGTCGTGGTGGTGGCGGCGGTGGTGGTTTGTGGTGGCGTGGTGGTTTGTTGTGGTGGTGGTGGTGCGCTGTGGTGTTGGTGGTGGTGCTGCTGCTGCTGGTAGTGGTGCTGGTGGTGGTGGTGGGTGGTGAGTGGTGGGTGGTGGTGGTGGTGGTGGTTGTGGTGGTGGTGTGGTGGTTTGTGGTGGTGGTGTTGGTGTTTGGTTGTGGTGATGGTGGTGGTTGGGGCGGGGTCGGTGATGGTGGTGGTAATGGTGTGCTGGTTTGTGGTGGTGGTGGTGGTTGTGGTGGGTTGTAATGGGTTGTGGTTGTGCTGCTGGTGGTGGCGTTTTTGGTGGTGGTTGTGGTGGTGAGGTGGTTTGTGGTGATGGTGGTGGTTGTGGTGATGGTGGATTGGGGTTGTTGTGGTGGTGGTTGTGGTGGTGGCGGTGGTGGTGGTGGTGGTATGGTGGTCTGTGGTGGCGGTGGTGGTGGTGGTGGTGGTGGTGTGGCTGTCGGCTCTTCCCGCCACTGTGTTTTGGCAAAGGGTCAGAGTTCTAATGGATGCCTCTTGAGGTATCGTTAGAAGGGTCTCGGGGGCGTCTGAGGAGCGTGCGAGGGCTCGATATGGCGATTTGTGTGTTCCCTCTGCGGCCTCTGGGCCCTCTCTAGTCATCGTCGCTGCATCCCCGCCGTCGGCGCTGCTGGCCGCCGCCAGCTCCGGCGCCGGCGCCGGCGCGGGGGGGGGAGGGGGAGGGTTCGACCCCCCCCCCTTCGCGGCCCTCTCTGGTCATCGTCGCTGCGTTGGCGCTGCGTTGGCGCTGCGGAGTAGTAGTAGTAGTAGTAGTAGTAGTAGTAGTAGTAGTAGTAGTAGTAGTAGTAGTAGTAGTAGTAGTACTAGTACTAGTAAGTAGTAGTAAGTAGTAGTGAGTAGTAGTAAGTAGTAAGTAGTAGTAGTAGTAGTAGTAGTAGTAGTAGTAGTAGTAGTAGTAGTAGTAGTAGTAGTAGTAGTAGCAGTAGTAATAGGAGTAGTAGTAGTAGTAGTAGTAGTAGTAGTAGTAGTAGTAGTAGTAGTAGTAGTAGTAGTAGTAGTAGTAGTAGTAGTAGTAGTAGTAATAGTAGAAGTAGTAGTAGTAGTAGTAGTAGTAATAGTAGTAGTAGT